CCAGGCTGGATTTGAACCCGCCACCTTAGGTGTATGTGGCTGGTGCCTTAGCCACTTGAGCCACAGGCGCCAAGCCCCAGCCAGCTTTCTAAAGCATAGATCTGATTAGATCATTCCGCTCTGTAAAGACTTTTCTTGGGTCTTACTACATACTATATCATAAGTACATCTCCCTCAGCCATCCTTGTCATCTTGAGTTCTGACTTACTAGAAGTACACTATAGGTTGAACTAACACAGGGTCTTTAAAGAAGTAGTGAAGTTCAAATGGAGTACCCAGGGTGGGCCCTAATCTAATATGCCTAGTGTCCTTATAAGAGGTAAGGATACAGAAAGAGACACCAGACTCATGGAGAGATGACCATGGGAGAAGTCGGCCATTCGCCAGCTAAGAGGAGAAGCCTCACAAGAAAGAACACCTACTGAGGCCTTGATCTTGGACTTGGAACCTCTAGAATTGTGAGAGAATAACCGTCTGTTGTTTAAGTCACCCAGTTATTAGTGGCAAACTAATATATACAGTAAAATCTCAAATGCCATAGTATTATCTGAGTTAAAATAGATGCTTAAGGGGTACTTTGTTCATCCAGTAATTTAGAAGTTTCTCCTATGTATTAGCCCCCCAACTTGATGTCAGGAGACTACATATAACTTCAATTTAGTAATGCAAAATGAAAGCAACTTATACGTATTTCCTCTCTGAAAACGTGTCCCTAAAAAAACACCAATTTGTGAAGAGAAATCTCATTAACTGCTCTTTCCCCCATCAATATCCCATAAAACTCAAGAGCTATAAAAGTCACCTTCTCTTATTTTATTTATTTATTTAGAGACAGAGTCTCAAGCTCTTGTCCTTGGTAGAGTGCTGTGGTTTCACAGCTCACAGCAAACTCAAACTCTTGGGCTTAAGCTATTTTTTTTTTCTTTCCCCTTACAAATGTAGGGTATTTGTTTACAGGAGGCCACAAGTTTTGCGCTGCCCTTCGTCACAATGACCCCAGATTCCTGTTGGGTGTGTTGTAAACAGAGGAGCCATTCTTCAGGCCCCTTGCTCTGAGCACACCTCGTTAAGTGGTTCTCTTGCGTCAGCGCTCCAAGTAGCTGGGATGACAGGCGCCCGCCACAACGCCCAGCTATTTTTTTTGTTGCAGTTGTTGTTTTAGCTGGCTGGGGCCGGGTTTGAACCCGCCAGTCTGGGTGTATGTGGTCAGCGTCCTACCCCCCCAGCAACAAGCACCACCCACCTTCTCTTATATGAACACCTTCCGATGAATAGACCGATCTTACCTAAGCCTTCCAGCTCTTGAACGACTTCTTTCCAAACCGGCTCGATATGGATACAGCTGAAGCACCAATCCGAGGTGATCTTAATGAGGTAGGGTTTCTTGAAGCTATCCGGAACCACTTCATTCACATAATGTGAAAAGTGCAGTAAATACTTTTCATCAATTGAGTCCCGCCGCTCAGAATTAAAAGGGAAGTGAAAGAAAGATTCATCGAAATAGAAATTTTCATGGAAATGGCGGAAGCGATACTCTCGCTGCTGCTGCTGCTTCTGGAATCCCTGACTCTCTCCAGCATCTCCATATTGGTCATAATTCGATCTCTTTTCTTCATTGGAAAGAATCTACAAAGATTAAAAAAGAAATAAGAAATCAAAACCACCAATAATAAAAGGTTCATAAAATGAAATGAGGGAAAATTAAAAAATAAAGGTAAACCCAAAGGGCTTTTCTTTTTCTTTTTTTTTTTGAGACAGAGCCCCAAGCTGTCACCCTGGGTAGAGGGCCATGGCATCATAGCTCACAGCAACCTCTAACTCCTGGGCTCAAGCGAGTCTCCTGCCTCTGCCTTCCCAAGTAGCTGGGACTATAGGTGTCCCCTACAACGCCTGGCTGTTTTTTGGTTGCAGCCATCATTGTTGTTTGGCAGGCCCGGTCTGGACTTGAACCCTCCAGCTCAGGTGTATGTGGCTGGCGCCTTAGCCGCTTGAGCCACAGGCGCTGAGCCAGGGCTGTTCTTTCATTTTTTTTTGAGACAGAGCCTCAAGCTGTCGCCCTGGGTAGTAGAGTGCTGTGGCATCATAGCCCCCAGCAAGCTTCAACCCGTAGGCCTAAGCAATTCTCTTGCCTCAGCTTCCCAAGTAGCTGGGACTACAGGAGCCCATCACAACGCTTGTCTATTTTGGGGTTGTAGTTGTCATTGCTGTTTGGCAGGCCCGGGCTGGATTCAAACCCACTAGCTTTGGGGTATGTGGCTGGTGCCCCAGCTGCTGAGCTACAGGTGCCAAGCCATCCCAAAGGGCTTTTCTATAAGCAGCTTGGAAAGCATAGGAAAAAATACATGTTTGGATTACGACATGATTAGATAGTCTAAATGGAGTCAATCGACAGACCAAGAAACTCTTCTCTTGAAAGAAACATTAAATTCAAGACTAAAATATTTATTGTTTAGAAGCTTATTTTGGCATTAATTTCAAAATATGACACTAAATACTTCAGTGAAACAAAACTTAACATTGACTATCATGGCTCAATCTCAAGAAAATTGACTTGGTCATATGTTACAGGTTGGGATTATTATTTTTTTTCTTATTTTGAGACAGGAGCCTCAAGCTGTCCCCCTGGGTAGAGTGCTGTGATATCACATCTCACAGCAACCTCCAACTCCTGGGCTCAAGCGAGTCTCCTGCCTCTGCCTCCCAAGCAGCTGGGACCACAGGCGCCCGCCACAGCACCTGGCTATTTTTTTGGTTGCAGCCATCATTGTTGTTTGGTGGACCCAGGCTGGATTCAAACCTGCCACCTTGGGTGTACGTGGCTGGCGCCTTAGCCACTTGAGCCACAGGCGCCGAGCCCGGGTTGGGATTATTTAAACCAAGATATAAAAAGCTGTAAATACCAAAAGAGTAGCTACAGAATTGAGTCTAGTGCCTTGTAAGGCTGTTGACTTTGTTTTACTTAAAAATAGCTTTGCAGTCTAAAATTCAAGCATCTGTTCTAGGATGATATGTCATTCTATGAGCTAAGCTAATTTGTTGAAGAGTGTCACCCTCCACAGATCAGGAAGTCATGGACTTATCTTTTATGCATATTCCAGACCAACCTACTTAAGCTGACACGTTGGAAAATTATTGAAAATCTCATGTTTAAATATAAGAAATACAGGTGAATTCTTCGATGTAAACTTCTGAAAAGGCAAAAGAGACATATATTCAAGGTAATTCTACATTCCTAATTAAAACCTTTTAAAAATAGGCCAGTTTTTTAAAGAGGTATAGTGTTCAGGAATTCATTTCAACATACGGCTAAATACGTTCTCTCTACTATTACCTAGAAACTGGGTCAAGGGCATGGGGTACATCATGCACTTTCTGACAGACTTTTAGGCATATTTTCTAAGAGCTATGGATGTATCACGAAGTCTGACACGGTACCTCGTAAGCCTTGCTGATTTGAATGAACTTGTCTTCTGCTCCAGGATCTTTGTTTTTGTCCGGATGCCTGAAACACAAATGGGCAGGCAGTGAGGCACTGAGAATAGATTTAATTTTCTACACACAGTCCTGTAACATCCTTGCCCACACAGTCCACTACATCAGAGGAACGGAGGGCCATTTTGTTAGGACAGTTTCTTAAATGGTAGAAGTAATTGGTTGCTTTATATGACCGCATAGAGGAAACTCTGAATTAGGTGATTTCTTCCCTAAACACTGCAGCTGGGCACATTTTCAAGGCTACCAGATAGCACTGCAGCCTTCCACTGAGAAGAGGGCGGATATGTGCATGTCTTTACATTGCTCACCCCAAACTGCTAAAAGCTGCCTCAAGGCTAAGTCACTTCTCCGTAGGAACCCACGTCTTTCTAGGATGGCAGCATTCATCCCTATGTTAAAATGATATTGATCTAGATGTTTCTTCTGACAATACAGGTAGACATAAAAAAATAGTTTTAGGACTGGAATTTTGCACGAAATAGAGGCATTTCTCACATCTTAAACACGTGGCCTTGAAATCGTGACATATTTATTAGTAAAAGGCAATTGCAGACGGAGTGGCATGACCAGAATAATAAAGAAAACTAAAAATGTTCTAATTTGAAGGTCAGCAGCAAGATCCAATCATTTGAAACGTGACTATTTCGTGCAAAATTGTTTCAATTAATATTAGAACTAAATCTTCAACATTTGCTATTATATATAGTTGGCTATTAACTGTATCCACCTTGCTGGCATATATTGTTTGTTAATCTTGTGTTTATACCAGTTACAGCTTTGAAGATTTTAAAGTTCTGGAAAGAAGGGGCTAGGTTTACTTGGAACCCCTGAGATCTAAATCAGTGTTTTGTACAGACTGATATTTCAATGTTCATTTTATCAAGAGACTCTGTATAGCAGCATTTATTCTCGATATTATCATTTTTTGCTAACTTCTAGTAAGTTTCCTCTGACAAAGGTTTGTTTTATTCGCCCTTGGTAGAGTGCTGTGACATCATAGCTCACAGCAACCTCAAACTCTTGGGCTCAAGCTACTCTCTTGCCTTAGCTTTCCAAGCAGCTGGGACTATAGGTGCTTGCCACAATGCCTGCTTATTTTTTGAGACAGAGTCTCAAGCTGTTGTCCTGGGTAGAGTGCCATGGTGTCATAGCTCTCAGTAACCTCCAACTCTTGGGCTCTTGCCTCAGTTTTTCTGGTTTTAGTGGAAACAGGGAGGGTCTCACTTTTGCTCAGCCTGGTCTCGAACTCGTGAGCTCAAGCAATCTACCTGTCTTGTCCTCCCAGAGTGCTAGGTTAATAGGTGTAAGCAACTGCACCCAGCCACACCCAGCTATGCCTTGCTATTTTTTAGAGAAGGGGTCTTGTTCTTGCTCAGGATGGTTTCCAACTCCTGCGCTCAGGCAATCCACCTGCCTCAGCCTCCCAGAGTGCTAGGATTACAGGTGTGAGCCACCACACCCGGCAGACAAAGGTTCTTAAAAATAATCCCCTGGGAAGTAAATAACTATTATACTAAAAACATGCCAAGTACATTGGAATAAAACAAATCTGTAACTTGGCAGACTTATTTTAGGAGGAGTATGTTTGAATGAATTATACCACCTATTCTGATTTCTCTGAAAATAAGGAAACTTCAAATGCTTGACTGTTGAAATTTAGACATCGTTCCTTCCTTAACCATCTAATCCTTGTTATAAATATTAGTGGGGAAAAACATCTCAGCAAGGTATAATGAAAACAGTATGATTTAAGGAAACAAGACAAGTGGCTCTAAAGCATGTTTCTGGATGACAAAAAAAAATATTCAAACTTAGGCTAAAGGCTGAGTGGATAAAAGTCATGCAATCATATAAATGAAGAGACAGAACTCTGTAGGGAAAGGGGGGAACACAGGGGCTTTTTAGGAGCCTGAACCAAAGAGAGTCCTGAGGGCAGCTGGGTTAGGAAACAGACCCTGAAACGGAGGCTAGGGCTCAGGAATAGTTTCCTAACTGTGGGATGATACCACAAGGTTGAAAACATTTAGAGAAGGATAAATTCAGCCCTAGGAAGGCACTGTCCTATGCTATGTCCAGTAAACATGAAATCATTTCATGTACTCTAATATAACGCTCAACTTTTAAACTGTGAAGTCAAGAAAATATTGTACTCAGTATCTACTGGCTGTCCAGTTACTTCTAAAGGAATAAAAACAAAGACAGAGAAAGTACTACGACAAAGAATTGGACGATTTATTGTTCAGTTGATCGGACCATGTCATATCAATTTGCTTTTCTTTAGGGTGGGAGGAGCTATTTTGATAATATGGATGACCCGTGAAAAGTACCTGTGATAAACTTAATTACTAGAAGAGAAATAAGTCTCCTGAGAGGAAAAAAAAGTAATTTCAAACGGTTTCACCAAGCAAGGGAAACTTCTTAAGAAGTCTAAGAAACACTTAGTAAAACATACCAGAGGAAAAGTTACAGACCCAATTCGACAAGTCGCCTCCCCCCCCATACAAGCTCACTCTGCAAAGTCAAGCTGCTATTTTCAGTTTACATGAAAACATTAAGAAGTGAAATTTAAACAATTCCAAGTGATAGAGCATTGCCCAAACAGCAGGCTGTGAACGGCACAGCAGAAAGTTAAAGGTAAAGTAAAATTTTAGACTCCTACTGAATGACACACTAGATGTATTTCTATGGTGATGAATTATTCCTAGAGAGAATCTAATTAAAGAAGAGAAGCACATGACTCATTTAATTAATATCATAACACCCTTTCGGCTCCGGAAGACAGAAAAGTCAAAGCTGTATGTTTTAACAGGTCCCATGTGGTCAAGCTATTATTTGTGCTCTGAAAATACTGTCAAAGGTTATACACTGTCCAGAAGACTGTTACCTTGTCAATCAACTGCAGATTTATAAATTTGGCTTTAAACATACAGGCAAGAGTCTGAAATGATATGGAAAGTAACTTTGGTGTCAAGAGTCCCTCGCAAGAGATCCTGCGTAATTAGAGATTGGCTTTTTTAGTATCCGAATCTGGGGTCCTTGTGATATAAAATAGTTTAAAATAGGGATTCAAAACACTACATTTTAAACTACCTTTACCTTTATTTCAACCAGTTTAACGCTAAGGTATGTCTGCTCACTGAAGCACACTGGTGACAGTCACAGTCCCGCACACAGCCTGCAACACCATCTGCACTTAGCAGCTTTGCTTCCTACACGGCTTCCTACTTTCATCCATTCCTTCCCACCCAAACACTAACCCAGATGGGTAAATGATTAGAAGACAATAAAGCAATACATTGTTTTTTTGCAGTTTGGCGGGGCTGGGTTTGAACCCGCCACCCTCGGTATATGGGCCTGGCGCCCTACTCACTGAGCCACAGGCGCCGCCCAGTAATACATTGTTGATACAGAAGATTAAACTATAGAATCCAGAGGTAGTGCAGATTTACCAGCTCTGAGCCTCCGTCTTCTCATATTTACGACAGAGACACAGATTTATTCCTTCACAGGCTTATTTTAAAGTTTAAAGGAGCTAAAAAGCATAGAACCTGGAGGCCAGCACGCAGCAGGTGCTCAGTGATGGGAGCTGTCCCAAACTTTCTTCTATTGCTTATAGTTGGTTCGCCTAGCTTGGTGTCAACTCTGTCCTTTCTTTTCATCTTTTCCTCCTGCTCCTGTTCCCTCTCCAGCTATATAATCCACCACTTTTGCTTAATTGCCATGGCCAGAGTACTGGTGGAAGATACCAATGACTTTTGTCCAAAATAAGTTTAGATTTCTTGCTATCCTGCTAACTACAGGTAAGATTACAATTTTTCTTTCTTTTTTTTTTTCCCTTTCTTTTAGAGACAAGGTCTTGTTCTGCCACCCAGACCGGAGTGCAATAGCCTGATCATAGCTCACCGTAACCTCAAATTCCTGGGTTCAAGTGATTCTCCTGTTTCATCCTCCTGAGTAGGTGAAACTACAAGCCTGTGCCACCACACTCAGCTAATTTTTCTATTTTTTGTAGAGACATAATCCTGTTATATTGCCCAGGCAGGTTTCAAATCCCTGGCCTGAAGCGATCTTCCACTCCTCCCAAAGTGCTGGGTTTACTTGTGTAAGCCACTATACTCAGACTTCTATAAGACTTTTTAAAGAGTGGCTCGGTGCCTGTGGCTCAAGTGGCTAACGTACCAGCCACATACACCTAAGATGGCGGGTTCCAATCCAGCCTGGGTCTGCCAAACAACAATGATGGCTGCAACCAAAAAATAGCCAGGTGTTGTGGCGGGCGCCTGGGGTCCCAG